ACAAAGTAGACTTAAAAAAAATAACTGAACGTTTATTAGAGAAAAATTATGAAGAATTTCAGGCTGATTATGAAAAGATTTCGAATTTTATAGCCCATGATTTAGCGGATACGTTTAAATCGACACCCAAGAGATTAGAACAATATGGAAAGGACGTAGCTAATATTATCTCTTCGATTGTACATGGAACTTGGTCGAAAGATCATCATCCGAGAGCTATAGAGGATGTTAGAACCAATTTATCTTTGTATATTTCAGATTTTTTTGATACATTACATGGATGGTCGAGAGAAAACGTCGGAACAAAATGTCATCGAATTGGATCTAACATTAAAAATTTAGCGAATAAAAATAGTTATTATCCACCGCAAAGTCCTTGGGGGCCGGAAATTGCATTAAAAGGAAAATATGGTATGTATTACTTTCTAGCATCCATTTAATTTCTATTTAATAAAATATATGTTTATCAATATATGTGCATATATATGTATTTTTCAATTTATAGCGAAAATTTATTGGAACGTCAAGGAGCTTTCAATGAAACATCCATTGACGATTGATTCAAAACACAAAGTACTATCCTGTGTTGACAATTGTGAACCACTAAGTGGAGAAATCTATCGTTATTTTGCATTTACTGGTCCTTATAAACGTGCACTTACAATAAATGATGATAATACAATTGGCATGGAAGTTTATGATTTTACAAATCCTGCGCAACTTTGGAGAATTGGTTAGTCAAGCTTTTGTAGTTTGCGACAAAAAACTTGGTGAACAATCATTTACATGATTCGAGAGCGATTGATCCGGTATTGATGATTTTAAGTTTGAACGAATGCTGTAAATCAAGATTGGAGTCATCGAAAACGGATCTGTCATTCTCGGATATGCGTTAAATGTATCAGTATTGAAAAAGAATTTACGAAAGGAAACGATCGTCCATTGTTATATCATAATGTTGATATCTCAAGAATTGTCAAGCCATTTCTAATCGATTATTCCCGCAAACTTATTTTCAGAGTTTTTCCAAGAGATTAAAGGAACAGTAACTGCATCAAATACAAGACATTAAACCTTTGTTTTATTTAACATTAAAAAATTGTGAAAAAACAACCCTCTAAATTACCAAGTGTGAGGTCTTTTACTTTATCAGGGTATTTAATATCTTTATTAT